ACGTTAAAAGAATGTTTAACAGGTCTTAGGCCCGTATTAATATATGTTACTCAACGACGTACTCAAGTGCGTAATCATTACGATATCAGCATCTCAAGATCGTTGTTAATTAATAAACACTTAAAAACAGTATCTAAAAACGCTGTACTTAGGAATACTGTCCTGTGAATTGCACTCAAGTATACACACTTGAGAGTCGAGTTTTGTTTATTAATAAGCGTGGCATTCAGCTGATATCGTAAACCTAAACCGCATCTTGAGATATGTTTATTAATAAGATCATAACCTCAAGATTGTACTCAAGTGCGTGTACTTGAGCTGAGTAACGTTTATTAATACGGGACTTAGAGTGAACATTTAGCTTGCTTATACATAGCAATACACATAGACTACATATAGCTTGTTTATGTATACTCAAAGGTTAAAATTGTGGCACTGTGGTATTCCTTGAGGGAGGCCTAAGTTCAGTAGTTGACATAATAAAAAAAGGTTAAAATCTCTAACAATACCTATTTAAAATATTCACTAAAATTCGTAAATGGTATCTTATTATATGTCATATTTTAGATTATTGGTTTTATGTTTGTTTATTTATTCATTCATTTCAACCTACCAAAGTCTATTGCTAGACATAGTTTGGCAGGCTTAGGCAGGCGCATCCGCAGTTTTTTATTATTTTAGCAACCGCATTTTTTAATTACTTTGAGTTAATGGGGTTGTTATAAACTAATTTGATAAATTCCGCGTAAAGAAAGAAAATGATGTGTTTTGCCCAGTTTTAAGGGGACCTCTCACCCTCCCTCAATCGGAACTACCATCCCCAGCACCACCACACTAGGCACGACACACGACTCACGATTCTATTAATTATTTTGAGTTGTTGTCAGGAAGATGATGCCACCCATGTCTATCTCATTTCCCTCTGTTGTCTCTTATGACACTAAATGGATGAAATGATAGTGCATTTTATTACGCCGGCACTACACGGCGCTGCCATTACACGTGGATAGGATAAGGGTAAGAAACGAGCACACGGTCCACCTGATGGTAAATGGTTACTGTGGCCCATAGTCATCTACATCTATCCTCAATTACCATCGTTTCCAGTAAAAATGGTTTGCGGTTCTCTGCACCCACCAGTCACCATACGATACATCGCAGTGTTGAGCTGCTATTTTACGCTGGTATTGTGTGAGAGCGTGGTTCTCCTCCGGTCGAGCGGACCCATTCGTGCTACAACTATACTTATACAACTGTAGCATGGCTCTACCACGATCTTAAGATAGTAAATTTTAACATATATTTTATTAACTTACGAAAGCAGAGTATAATCATTAAGAAATAAAAACAATACACAATTATTTTCCTTAAAAACTGCACACGACTACAGAATAAACAACACGTTTACAAATAAAAAATAAAAGGTGCGACCGAAGTAGGTAGTTATGCTTAATGAATTACGCAATGGAAAAGTAGAAAGGTCATGTTTTTTTTTCACTTACGCTAAAGAATGTGATGATGTGCTTAGGTCTTTCAGTAAACAGGTTAACCACATGTAAGTGAACTAATTATGCTATTTTTGTTTTTTTTAAGGCCTGTGATCATATGTGATGTAATTTGAGACAAGGTCTATTTTTGCCGTGTTAGGGTCATTTATCACACATTACCATACAAATCGCAATATAACACATAAAAATGTGCGTTTAAGATGAAGATCGTATAAATTTGGAACTTATAAAAACATTTGCGGATATTTTTCCGAACATCGCAAAAGTGCATCTCACTTATTTAGAGAATGCTTCGCGGAATAGCAATACGAAGACATAAAGACTTGTATAAAGTTTGGATTTTGTATGCGTAAAGGCGCACGACACGGCACGACATCCATCAGCTTGTCGGCAAATCGCTCCGTGTGTCCATCACGTAACATCGATAAATCACCGTTCTAATGAGCCTTAAACTGTGTTCACACTGGCGACTGTCGAACGGAAACTTCTACTTAATTGTCGCAATTTAATGGCTATGCCACGGAATTAACAAACTAAATGAAGAGATTGGCATTATATTTTTTATAATGTATCCTTTATTATTATAATGTTCAACGGAGAAGTGCCCAGCAAATCAAGAAATGTCTCTGCCGACAACAATGAAATTGTTAATTTCAATATTAAATTTAAGTGAATAAGGCTTTTGTTACGCTGCGATGTTGTGATTTTTCCTCTAAATGTCTAGGGTTTCATCGCCACCTACCACCACTGTGGGATTGTAGTGAAGTACTGGCTTATTTTAAGCAAAAAGTATCCAATACTGACATGCTTACGATGAAAGAAAACCTTGTGAAACAATGTCTAGGGCATGTGAAGAATCGGGGCCGCTCGGCGGACTCTTCCCTGACCCAAAAACTCTCAAAAATTATAGAAGGCCCGTACCCAGCAGAGCGTCGTATAAGTGTTATCTTCATACATTGTTTTAAAACAACTTAAATCAATATAAGACTTATGTTACCTAACGCACCATCTCAATTTACGGGCGACGGCTGCATACCGCTTTCAACCGCTTCTTTTGCAGAATAAAAGCAAACGCTCTAGCTCTTTTATGGCTAAAGCACGAATGGGCCGGCTCCACTGGAGAAGGACCACGCTCTTACAGATTACCAGTACAAAACAGCCGCTTAATGCTGGTGTGTTTCGTGTGGTGAGTGTAGAGAACCCAGAGACTCTTTGTACTGGACGGGGCTTTCCGCCTTAGTCCTCAGAGTTGATAATACATCTACATTTTTAGCCGAGGGCAGAAGTAGGTGTCTATGGGCCACAGCATCCACTTACTATTAGGTGGAGTGTGTGTACGTTTTTCACGCTTATTCTATATTTAAAAAAATATTTTTATAAAAATACAAAATAAATACGGGTTCTATATCCTTCGGACCAGATCAATAGCGCGGCAGAAATACGTACGTAGGTCTCGAAGTCTCCTAAGTGAAACGGAGTCCTACCACTTAAAAAAAACTAGAACGTGTTGATGTTTGTCATTTTTAACCGAGTTCAAAAGGAGGAGGTACTCAATTCGATTGTATTTTTTTAATGTGTGTTCCCTCATAACTTTTTCCTAGGTGAACCGATTTTGATTATTCTTTTTCATTTAAAAGCTGTTGCTTGTCGTGTAGTTCCATATAAATTTGATCTAGATTTGAACAGTTGTTTTTGAGTTATCCCTAATGTATTTTATTGAAGTCGGTTGTATAAAAATTTTAATTTTACCACATATTTATTAGCCTTTCGTGGCTGTCGTAAGAGGCGGCTATATGGAACACTAGGAACATGTCATGGCGCCTATAGATGGCGAGGATGAGTCTAATCCAGACGCAAAAAACTGCCCACATCGGTGACAAGGAGCTACGTCTAAGGTGCGAATCGTGTGGTACGATCACAAATTCGCCTGCCAAACGTGGTCAATAAGGCAGATCTTCTCTCCTACAACGAAGAGATCCATGCGTATTTATGCGTTGATGAAGAAAAAAAAACCAATAATGATGAATACGAGAGTTATCGATATAACTCAGTTTTATACTAAATTGAACACTGTCATATCGATAAAAAATCACCACACTAAATGTATTGCGTCCACCTGGCGATAAATTGTTCAGTATTAAAACTTTTATTTAATTGCATGCCATTGACTTCGTAGGAATTACTTCACATCCTTAAATCGCGGGAACTTAAATAAGAAATAAATTGCAATGGTTTTACCATCTACCCATTGGAAACAAGTGTCACGGGTTTGAATCTTGAACAAGATGATGACGTGACGTCTTTTCTGAAATTTAACAATGTAAATTTCGTGTTTTTTTTTTAAATTTATAAGTTCATGTAACCATCACTGCCTATTAAAAATCCACTGCTGAATATAGGCCTTACCCTACAAGTTGAGTCTTAAGAGGGTTATTTCAGTGGTTGTCACGCGTGGCAGGCGGGATGGCAACCGACGTTTGTTATTATTTCGAGTGTCTGTTCATTTGTTTCTATATTTGACGGTCTGCCCATCTCCTGCTACATTTCCTTCAGTCACCTCTTATGAGACCCACAGAATGATATAGGGCAGCGGATTTTGTATAATATATATATATATATATATATATATATATATATATATATATATATATATAACCACAGCCTTGTTTGCAGAGATGGCTCTATGATACGATAGCACTACATCAGTCAATCAAATAATAAAGGGTCAAAAGGGCGCTGCTTTATCGACGCCATTTTGAAAATTGACATATCTTAGTCGATTTTAGTATTGAGTAGTGTAATTCATTATTTTTAAGTTGATTTTTGGAAGTATGTCCTAATTATTGCCAAAACTAGTTTGCTGTTTTTTTCTTAATATATATTAGTTATAGTATACGAGTGTGTGGTTTTGTCTCTGTCCTCCTCCCAGTTTTGGTTTTATAGGGCAGCAAAGCTTAAGGTGACCATATTACCCTCACGTACCTTATATGTTTTGATATATTAATTCATTCACTACAGCCTATCAAAATTCCACGGCTAAACAAAAGCCTCCCCCATAGATTGCCTCATAGGGCATTTACCGTATATATTCGATAAATATGTGTTTTAATTACTTTAATGTAAATATACTTTTTTTGTAACAAAAATAATAAATGTTACATTATTTTATCGTGTTCTTATATTAATAATACACAAGCAAATGTTCATGTGGGTAACGAGCAGAAAAGCGAGGTACTTTTTATAATGTTTTTTTTTATCATTCTGTGAGTTCTGTGTAAAAGAAAAAACTGAAATGAACAAATATTTAATGAATTTAATTTAAAAACTTTTTCTTTTGCGGTTTGATTTATTTGAAACACCTTTTTTAATCAGATGTTCTTTTACATGGAATTGTTTAGATTTTGTTAAATGTTTTCTTTGTTAAGTCTAGCAATACTAAAGCAACCATGAACCTGATGCGATTAATGGACAATATGTAACTTCCGATTCCAGACAAATGTTCCCACAAATGAAGTTCCGCGTCTCAGGACTGGACGCGAAAGCGAAATACATCTTACTGCTTGACATCGTCGCGGCTGACGACTACCGATATAAATTTCACAACAGGTAGAGAACACATATTCATCGCCTGCTGGGACTCTTCACCTTGACTTCTTCACCGATCATCACAAGCGAGAATTTGGCATGCCAATGCCAGATTGTCGCTCCTTAGCTCATAGCGCCACCGCACCGTCGATCGGAGACGTCCGCACTGATTCAATAGAGAACCGTTACATTCATTTAGCTTGTGATGCCGCCCACACCTCGCACTAGTTCCCATCGGACCACTAATCCCCAATTCACTCTTAATTGCACTCAAACAATTTGTAAGATACACGCTCGATTTAAGGGCAACGACATTGTACGACAAGCGAACATCGCTCGGGATCGACGCCGATTACGGATTCAACACGCATCCATTCGGTAATATCATTAAAATATCTTTGTCTCAAGCACAACAGCCGTAATGTAAAAAGCGGTCCTCCCAGCTGAGGTGAGAAATACCAACGAGATACTCCGCGTTTTAGTAAATTAAATGAATTTGGCAGACCTCGATTTAGACGAGGAATTACGAAATGCTCTAAACAGATGGAGCAGACTGATCGACCATATGTCGTGTTCATTGTTTTTAACTCCGATGACGATTTACGATAATTTCAAGTACGCTTCACCTCCGATTGACATCCGACATCGGGTTAGTGCCGGCGACGCAGGTTTGGCAACATCGAGATGCGACCGATAAACTTCGATTTGATATCCGTTAATTAATACGATCCGAGCATTCCGATGATCCGACAGTGACTCAGCCGCGAAACGATACAGCCGCCGACAAAGGCACCCGCCGCCTAGCGCCGTTAATATTATAATTAATTATTACAAATCATTCGTACATAAATTATTTGGCAATTATACGATTGGAGATTTCTAAAATTACTTGGGCCAACTGCTGTGGAGACGTACATTTAGCGGCACTTTTGCTCAGTTAGTGTATTGTGGGATTCGAGCACAAATTCGTTTCATGTGTTGTACTGTATACGCTCAGGTGCCTTGTTCACGATGTTTAACGGAAAACTGCACAATGAGCGCGCTCGCTGCCGCGTTTAGTAGTGACGGAAGTTACGTCTTTTCGCGTAGAACAAATACTTTGTGACACCTTGTCCTAGCAATCGTTATGCTTTTAAAAGCGTTAGCTAAGACCTACTTGAGGTTATAATTATGTAAATGAGACAGCCACTTATCTTAGAACCGAGATCACAAGCTAAAACGTTAATTCTTAGAAGGAAATTTTCTTAAAAGTGAAACTTGTTCGGCGGCATGTCTGACAATCGACGCTACGCTCGGACCGTTGTCGCATAGCCCCAACCCATGTTTTTCTCTCCTGTTGCTTGCAGACGTATGTTTCCTGCCTACAAAGTTCGCGTTTCTGGTCTTGATAAAAAAGCAAAATACATTTTGCTAATGGACATCGTAGCTGCCGACGATTGCAGATACAAATTCCACAACAGGTATAAACAAATAACTGACGGAATTAAATTAAAATAAGACCTCCTTAGTAACGACAGTTATGATGAGGCTCTGTCCGCGTTAGAACTTATTTTAATTTAAAATGACATTACAAAAAATTGAGGCAAGAAGCATGCGTATAGTTGTGTGAAGGCGATTGGGATCTGCGTGGTTTTATACGGAGCCGTCTCGTGAACAAAGAAGTGAATACCCCCTGTACGAAATATTATATAACATGCTGGATTATTCGCCAAAGTTAAACGTTTTCAATATATTTAATAGAATCAGGCGTTACTTTGCGGAAATCCATTATATAATTTTAGAAAAATTTATTTCGCAAATAAATTTATAACGCGGATATTTGCGAAGTAATTTTTTCTAAAATTATTAAAAGTTTTCGTCTATTTATTGTACGATTCGAAATTGAGTTTTATTTCCTTGTAATTGTGAGTTTTATTTCATTGTTCAACTTTAATTATCACACTTGTTGTGTCAATTATGATCCAACGCAGATCTCGATTCTTTTTATGCATTGTTAATCACAATAATATAATGTTGGATCGCTTTTTCATCGCCATTGCATGATTTTTCGTGAGCATTTTAGCAATTATAATGCTTATTAACTAGCTGTCGGCGCCTAATTGTAACCATGCATGCAGTTTTAACCGCTTCTGTACTCCGTCGGTGCGTTTCCATTCAGTAATTAAATAAATATGTTCACGCTTTAGCGTCGCTATAAACATTATTATTTATATATCGTCATAACTTAACTTATTTATGCATACACCTGTCTCAGTCCCGTGTTTCTTTTAATTACAATCTTTCTTGATTAATAATTAATTTCGATAAATAACGACTCTCCTATTATAGATACGGTTAGATAAGTGAGCATTCGAACATTTGGCCGATGAATGTTGCAAGTTCGCCAGCACTGGCACCTTTGTGTCGTTTTATAATTATCACAAACAGCTGATTTGATAAGGGAGAAGTGAGAAATATTTAATAAGCAAATGTGTGCAATCGTTCACTTTATCTCTCACGTTGAGTCGTAACGGAGTCCGACCGTGGCACGGAAGTCATTTCAAACGATTCACCAGATTCAAATCAAGTTTTTGTGAATTTTATAATTAGTAGAGATGTCGTGTCATATTTATTTAATGAAGCAATGAGTGCAAATACCATAATTGTATATAATATATTATGTATTATATATGTGTGTGTTATAATAAAGTTTAATTTAAATAATAGATTATTCACATTAGTATTGTTACAGTTAGTGTTCAAAGAACGTGGTACATGCAGTATCTATAAATGTGTAGGCTCGACCGGGGAAGGAACCGTTCTCACAGAATACCAGCGTAAAGAACTGTGTAAAGAACTGGACGACCTTTTCACTAGTAACCAGGCATTCTATCTTAGTCCTTAGAGGTTCAGGAGCCGCATCTACATTTTTATTTTTAATCTAGGTGTCTGTGGATCACAAGATCCACTTACCATCAGGTGGGCTGTGTGCTTGTTTGTCTCCCTTATTCTATCATTTTTCTTTTATAATATTAATATGTTTGATATTTTATTCATTTGTCTATTAACGTCAATCGTTTAAAGTTTCGTATTACTATTAGATGTTCATTTTAATTCTAACAATATTTCAGTAGCTTATGGGGTGAGCGGATTCTGTAGAATTTAAAAGTTTACTTAATATGGTTACTATCAGCCTAAAGCGTAATGCAAGTTAGCAAAGTTTAAAATTTGATTAAAATTTATTAGCCATTGATTATAACAATGTTATTAACATAATTATAACAAAATATTGACAAAGAGTTCCATTTTCAAAATTTGAACTTACTTTTTTATTATATCATCGTTTACAAGTGGTCAGTTCTAAAACCTTTCAGTGCCGCCCTCGTAATATGCTTATAATATATATGTATAACAAGTCATTAAATACATAGGGTTATTTTAAAAATGTAAGTATAGTATTATTATTACAATGTGGTTCCTTAAACAATCCATGTACAATGTGCAGCTGTATTGACATTGGATGTCCGCATTATAAGCGACGTAATAGCACATACTGTCTATCCAATGTGGCCTTATATGAAACATTATCATTTCAAGCTAGCTTTAAACTACTAATATCACAACATATTCTAAATTCCTTTTTTTATTTACTAAGTAAAACTATTCCTTAATGCGTGCCTCATTAAATATACATATAATGTGAATTATTATAAGTTATTTCATAGCAAAGATCTATTTAGTTTTCAAATAATCTCAGAATCAAAAATTAGTAAATACATTATTCTGTGTTGTTTTAACTAAACTATGGCTAAGCGTGACCTCTGTTTCCGGAGCCGGTGGATGGTGGCCGGCAAGGCGGATCCTGAGATGCCGAAGAGGATGTACATCCACCCAGACTCGCCGTCTACCGGCGAGCAGTGGATGCAAAAAGTGGTTTCCTTCCACAAACTCAAGCTGACCAACAACATCAGCGACAAACACGGATTCGTGAGTACCTGCTTTTCTAATGTGGAATCGATGAATTTTAGTTTCTAAGAAACTTTATAAATTCTTCATAAATCAAATTTCAAAAGCCGTATGTCACAATTTAAATAATACTACTGCGATTTACTTTAATATCGACCCTATAACTTTACTATAATTGTCTGCTATCATCACGCAGCCACACAAACATTTAAAAAAAAAAACAATACAAAAGTACGTGACCAACCGATTGATCTTTCCACATTTTGGAGCATATCTTGTTTACTTTTGCAACGACCAAATAGCGACCATATACCGAGAAAGAATACACTCACGAGCATTAATTGAAATATATCCATCATATTAAATTTTTCGACCGTGTAGGCCGAGATATAGTAACTGTCTAATAGTCATAGTACCTGCCTACTACGCCGCGGGTACGTACTATATTCGAATTCTATTCCAAGGTAACATTAGTCTAAAATATTAAAGTTTTAGCAAAAAGTAAAGACGATTTCAGAGAAAAAATAATTACAACATATAGCTTCTGAAGTTAGGGTATTTTCTTCTATACCTACTTTTGTATTAATTAATTTTTAATTTCTTTTAATATCTAGTCTTTATTTGTTGTTAAAATATAGTAAAACTAAACCTAACTAAAAGGTTACACACAACATTAAAAATCTTGGCCTACATATCGACAGCACGTTGAATTGGAGAACCCAGGTTTCAGAAGTGAGTCGTAAAGTCATTGCCACCTTATGCTCTCTGTATCGTCTAAAACATTTTCTTCCCACAAAAACTAAAATCATGCTTGTCCATTCGCTCATATTACCCATAATTGATTATGCAGATGTTTGTTACCCAGATCTGTCCCAAGATCTTCTGAACAAACTGGAACGCCTTCTTAACAACTGTATACGATTTATTTTCGGGCTTCGTAAGTATGACCATATTTCGCAATATAGATCTAAGCTAAATTGGCTTACAATCCGTCAGAGGCGCAATTCCAGAATATTGCTTGTTCTTTTTTCCATTTTAAATGACCCATCTTCGCCTTCTTATCTTAAGAGTAAATTTCACTATCTCTCCTCATCTCATGATAGGGTCCTACGTTCTTCTTCTAACAACAAAATCTGTATTCCTGTTCACTTCACCGAGTTCTATGGCAACTCCTTCACAGTTCAGGCTACACGCCTTTGGAACTCCTTGCCCGATGACATCAGAAAAACATCCAACAAGTATGTTTTTAAAAAATTGGTCCGTAACCATCTATTGAAGACAAAGCATTTTACTTGATTCATCCATTTGATATGTATTGCTAAACAGACGCATATATTCATAGGTATTTGTATGTACTAATTATATATTATGTATTTAAATATGTATTTAAATATGTATATTTGTATGTATATTTGTATGTATATTTGTATGTATATATTTGTATATATGTTTGTATACGTCATTTAAGTATGTATAGTTTATTTATTAGTAAATTGTATGTATTATGTAGTTAATTATTATTTTGTGTACTGTTATTTTATTCTATATTGTCGCACCTACGTCAAATTCTCACCACTCCATGGGTTGACTGGTAGAGAATGCCTCAAGGCATTAAGTCCGCCCTTTGTATTCTTTTGTTTTAAGGAATGCAATAAAGAATAAATAAATAAATAAAATAAATAAAAATGAAGAAAAACTAAAAATAAACATTTTAATTTTTTTTTAATAGGCTTTAAATTCCAACACTAAACTTTATCGATTCCACAACAATTATAAATGTCATATTATTGTTGCTTCACTGTCTTATATATTGAAAACATGTGTGTGTATGATTTAACCAATGATCGAAACTTTCTATAGAATTAACAGTCGACTCCAAAAGAGTAGTAGTCACCATAGTAAGTTTTTGTTGCAAAGCAAAAAGTTTATAATGTGGGTGATATTGTAATTAAAAAGAGGTCCGCGGGTTCGAACCCCTGTCGGCGAGCTGCGGGGGCGCATTGTGCCCGCCACGGCTATTACGGTTATTTACTTTGGGTAACCATCTCACCGTTTAGGAGCTCTCAACAGATTATCTTTTCACCGGTTCAATAAAAAATGGATCTTTTGTTATAATTTATCTTTGTTCCCTTGTGTTGTAACTTTGTTTTCTTTTTCTAAATGCCTCCGTTTCTTTCCAAGGGACAGTCTTATTTCTAATTAAAAATTGCAATATGAATAATTATGGTATCTTTGATTTTAATAATTAATATTTAGTTTTTATGGTATTAGAGCAGTTCAAATATATCAAGAAAAATATGGTGTTGATTTTAGATAGACTTAGTCATACTTCAACTTCTGTAAATAAGTAAATAACAAAAGTTGTTAACTTTGCAGGGTAAATTGTAGTTTGGTATAAACTTGTAGACACTCGTCCTAATTTTTCCGTAATTGGTAAAATCGAGGAACAAGCAACTCACACAATGTATTCAAACCTCTGCTAGCTCAGTAAATCACGGCTGCAGCAAAGTTAAGCTACTGGTACGATTCCCGCACGGAACTTATAGAACTGCTATCAAGGCCTTTATTAATTGCTTCGTGTCTGGATATTTTTAAATGTCTTATTTGTAATTTATGTTTTTTTTTTATTGTAATGTTTGATGTGAGCGCAAATATTTGCGCAATATAAAATGGGCCCATACAGGATACATATAGTGTTGTGCATCTTTAAAAAACATCAAATATTTAGATATATTGGCCAAATATTGTAAAGACGAAAGCAATTTTTATTTAATTTTAGTTTTCCAGTTATTTTAGTTAAACTACTTCTTGATAGCCCTTACAGAAATAAGATGAGGCCTGTGCCCAGCTGTGGTATATAACTATAACTTTACTTTTACCTTTTGTCTTTTATGCTTTTTCTTTCAATTTTTGATTATGACAAATTCTTTGTCAGACATAAACTCGGTTTTTGTTTGTTTATTGCATATCTAGAGTACCCACAAGAATAATTTAAGCCTCCCATGCAATAACTAATCCAAACCTTTCAATATGAAAAGGTCAACAAACTTGACCAAAAATCTACCAAACATGATATCCGTACAGAATCCATATGGAACGTTGGATAAAATCTTAAAGGCACACGTAAAACCAGTTGCTATACTATCGGTCAAACGATACACGTGCCTCATTAGTGTAAAGAAATTTATAATTTTATTTCAAGCAATCATTAACTGCTGTGACTAGAGAATCGGGTTTTCTTCACTTTCAACTGCCCGGCGGTATACTCTTTAATCTACTCGTAATTTTAATGAGCATTGATAAGAATTATTACGATAAGGACATGGGACCACAGCGGTGTTGCAAGTAAAAAAAATAATTCCAGTTTCAATTTCAAAAAACGCTACCGAAAACGAAAGCCGGCTCTTCAAGGTAACATAATACACTTGAGTGCATTTACACGACCGCGATCCAATCATAGATAAGACGATTGTTTTTTTTTTATTCCGACGATGAGCAGTTGTTTTTTTTTCTTTTTTTTTTTGTTGTCCTTTTCCTCGTGTCAGGTCTTTTGTCTTTGACGAGGGACGCGGGTAATTGAAATAACGACGGTCTCCGAGTGGTATGCGTAGAATTTTTGGAAACAGCTGACTCGATACGGCGCTATGCATATTTTAGGTTTTTAACGCTGCCACTGGTGTTATTAAAATCATTAGATAGATTTACTTTACGTATAGAATATATCTTTAAGTTTGAATTTAAAAAAAACGGTCGAACTCAAACTGTAGAACAGAGAATTTATATGCCGAACCGTATAACGTTATTACTGTTTGCACAATATGACTGGCCGAATGCAAAAATATTATTATTTATTTATATATATTTTACTATACTTACCACAATATTAAACGTAAAAAAAGTCATTCAAAGTCAGTCAAGTCAAAATTTTTTGTTATTTTTAATATTCTTACATTGTCATCCGATTCTTGACTATATTTATTTCAAGACTGTAGCTCATCGGAAAGTTAGTTTAAAATCAATTAATAAATTCAACCCGAACATACATACACGAAAGCAAGTTTATAAAAGCGTGATAATAGAAAAAAATGCATAATATAAAGTAGAATTTCTCTACATTAATCTAAAAGCATTATTTGAAACAAATACACGTACGTATCACGTACTTACGTACGTACTTACTTATCAAGAAGGGCTTGTATTCAAATTTATAAACGCGAATTAATAAAATAACATATAAATTCGACACTAGGTGGTATTATTCACGCTTTTACTTATTTTAATCTCTAAATATCAGTGCTTGAACTGTTGGGTTTCCGTCTGAAGGATATAGTGAGTCAGTATAATTACTGGATGTGAGGCATTTAAGCCTAATGATGCGTACACATTATATAACATAACGTGTTATATAACTCGAACGGCAGAACGATAAACGACAATGTCATATAACATTGTTATATTGCATTGTTATTCTAATGTGGACGTGTTATAAAAAAAAAAAGTTACACAACATGTTACTTAATCTGTACGCACCCTTAGAGGTGACAACACATCTGTAGCCTTCTTTGAAGTTGGCTGCAGGTGTCCATGGACTGTAGAAGCCACTTACCATCAATTGGACTTATCTTCGTATGCCACTTCAGCTTTTGAAATATAAAAAAGAATTATTTCGAGTTTAATAACTTATAATTTAATTAGGTACACAAAAATTTACACCTATACATAATGTATCTATATATTCGTATTTGAAGCAGTTTTGAATTTGAATGGACGTCAAAACATCTATTTAAAGTTTTTTGCAAAGTTGCTGTCACTTCGCTATAACGAGATATCATTATCATGTGTATCGACTAATATTATGCAAATTCAAGTTATTAGTAGCTCGCCATTGAATACGCAGATGGAAAAATACGATTTCAAAACTTAAAAAAGAGAAAACGTGATTAAAAGATTATTACTGTTCTAGATCTTGTAAACTATAATAACATACTGTATTTCGATCATTTGAAGATGATGCCTGTTGT